TTACAGGAAACTGGTTTTTATTTCAACTTCTCTGTTTATTTTAAAGAAACTAGACCATATCTTAAAAATTTCTCCATTTAATATTATAATTTTAGTTCAACGGATATTGAAAGAAAAAATTATCCAGCCTATATTTCATTTATGCAATAACAGAAACCGAATATGAAAATTCCAAATGATTCACATCCGCTATAAAATCTATTAACGCTTCACATGTATATATATATATATATAGAACAATTGCCAACGCCCACGTCAAATTGTTGATGGTAATTGTCTTCTTGAAGACAGCAGGCGAGTGGCCGCGGTGGGGGGGGGGGGGGGGCTCTCTCTACTCACGCAGAGCTTATAACCCGACAACATTTTAACCCGACACAGTACGGCAACCCGACAGTGGTACAATACGGAGGGCCTGACAGGGGATAACGTAAGTCTAATGGATGGGACGAAAAATCGAGGTTCCGTGTACATATTAACGAGCACGTAAAAGACCCCCCCTGACAGTTGGAATTCAATATAAGAGTAGGCCGTAGCGCCGCTATAGATATGCGGGTAAAGTTTCCCTCGCAGTACACATTAAAATTGTCGTAATGTCGCATAAAGATGTCGTGATATCGGGTTGTCGCCTTATGAAGGGCGACATCACGACATGATACCAATCAGCCACCATAAGAGACCCATAAGAGAGCCGTAGATAGTCTATACCAGGAGCGATCACTGCCATGGTGACTGAGAAATAGCCTCAGATGCAAGGAAATGGACTTCAAACCACCTCTCGAGGCTCCGCCGGAACAGCCGCTCGCCCCGATCATTTTTCTGCACACGCCCCTGAAGTGGGGTCCAATATTTCAGTTAGTAAATCTAAATTTCAAATTTCTGGCACGTTTATAATGTGACTATTAACATTATTTGTGCTATATCCATAAGCTGTCCTTAATTTGGAATGCAGTAAACCGTAAAGCAGTTCTTTAAAAAAAGAAAAAAGAACGATTCGGTATTTTCCCCTTGTTAAATATGCATATGACTTTATATAGTGCTCATGTTCATAATGCGACTGTGTGTAATATATACGGTCAATTTATCGACCTATTGTCGATTTTAAAAATAAATAAACAAAATAAAGCACTTGAAATAAAGCTATTCAAGATAATGGGCTTATAATATAATAGGTCATCGATTGTCAGCATATATACAAAATAAATATTTCGTTGCATTGAAGTGATTGCAAAATGAAATTTCTTGGGAGTGTATTATTGTTTTATTTGGTTGTTATTATTTGTTTTGTTTCGTTTCTGTTTTGTTTGTTTATTTTTATCTGTACGATATCCAGTTTAGGTTTTGTTCTAAAAAAACAAAACAACGAGGGAGCTTGAAGTATATGTGGGCTGTTTAAATATCATTTTACCATGTCCATTCCTAGTTTGCAGCTGAATATACGTCATTTTCTAAAATTCATATGCCGGGTCCGCATGATCAAGATTTCGAGAATTAATATGAGAAACACTTGTTAATTATTTGACTTAAATATTAATTTTTAAAAAGGCATCTTTTTTTGACTTAATTAGGCGTTTAGATACCATAATATGGTACATAATTTTGACTTGACTTTGATACATCCTACAATAAATAACAGTGCGCCTTGTATTATGACTTTCAAAGTCGACACGTTTCTTGTAGCCCAGGTTAACCACTTACTATATAATCATAATCTTCTACGTTTTGATAATCGAGGCGATATTGACATAATCTGTATATTCGACAGGACTGCTTCATATTCACAAGTAAATGTTACTAAAAATAGATCGCAGCCAAGCGAAAGATATATTTTTGCTCCCTGAAAGTACGCATCTTTGTTTACAGACATTTTCTTTTTTCTGACAATTCCAAATAATTATAATCCTTCCACCCTCTGCTTCGAAAGAATTGTTGTATGTTTTAAATGTAGGATATTCATTGACCTTCTTTCTTTGATCTGATCGGCTTCATTATCCCAGCTAGTACAAAATGGGTCGTCTTTCCTCAATGAGTAAACTGTATATACAGAGGGTCATCTCGCAATAACACTGGTGTTCGAAGGTCATACATGCGATCCATTTTCATTACCGAGTCCCCGTTATAACAGTCGTATGATCCGATATCCTCTTATTAGCTTTGTTTTGAAATAATAACCGGGCTTAAATAATACACATCTTCGATAGCTAGGAAAAATAACCCGCCTAACGGTTTAAACGATGCTCGGTCCTTGCATCTAGGATATTTTGGGTTGCCCTATTTAATCATTCGTCCATGGGAAGAATATATTTATATTGATTTATGTATTTTTATATTTAAAGTACATGGTCATTTTCTGTTGTCACATTAGCTCATCTCCATTATAACTGTATTGAGATATATAGGTCGACTAGTGTATATTAAGCAATTAAAATAAAATAAAGATCCATAAAATATATAATGCAAAACATTTGCTCTGTTGTTTAAATTTATTATAGTATCTTCTTCACGAGTCAATATAGTTTTTTTTTATTATATCGGTGATGGTTCTTTTTCTAGACGCCACCACGCACAAGAATTAAAAGAAAAATCATGTAAAATGATTGTGAACGGATATTACCATGGCGCCATTTTGTAACCAAAATCATTCGAAAATTTCGCAAAATTAAAAACCACACATCTTATTCATTACTTTTGAATCCTAAATATAGTTTGTGTTTGGCGATAAGAAGCAAACACTCTTGCATAGAACTGTGTATATTTTAATATTCAGTATCCTGTTACATTTGTTTCTACACGATCGTCTCCCAATATACCATCGATTCACAGTTTATAATTAATTTGTTCGCAAACACGAATAATCCGAATCCGAACTTTGTCCGCGCTATCAATAAATTTTATAGGTTTATATGATATGGAAATTACAAGCATAATTCAAGCGGCGAAAGAAAGAGCTTAAATAATGAATTCTGGTTTCCTCAATATACTAAAGGAGTTAACAAATGGACATGTAGGTGGATATTTGTTATTTAAATTAAAAACTATATCTTGTGCACGATCCCTTAAGCGACAAGATTCAGACAGACTGTGTTTAAGGGTAGAAAATTCCATTCAAAACACATTCTGTGTATATAAAGTGTATATAAAGTGAGCCATAAAACCTCAAAGAAAAATTTAATAACCAATAATACCCAATTCTACCTGGTGATTTCTTGATCGCAATAAACTAGCGGTATTTAGCTCGCATAGCTCTAAAAATAAACCACATTTTAACAATACAATTGAGAAACTGTCAGTGGGATGTACTGTGACAACAATAAACCTCTTCTAAAAGAACAGTAAATGGGTTGATGCATCTCCAAAAATACAGCACATTATCAACTTGAATATTTGTGGCACATGGCTTTATAGGGGAAGGTGAGATTTAACAGTTTAGATCCTATGGAAGAAGCAAAGGATGGTGAAGTGATACACCACTTTAAATACTGTTGGAGGGGTGATAAACCAATTCAACCAGCAGTTGCCAGGCAAGATACCCCTGCATTTTACAAGAAATAGATAGAGAAGAGAACAATTAGCTAAAAACAAAAACGATTTTTCGTACAATTAGGGGCCATAATCCAGAAAGGTATGGCCTGAAATGTGCAAATATCGAAAGGGACAGAGATCTCTTGGATATAAAGATATATTTTAAGTTTCATCAAAATCGGACAAAAATTGTGACTTCTAGAGGGTCCACAACCTTGGTATTACATACTTTTCCACTATTTATGTACAAGGAGCGACCATTTTCTCCAGCAGTTTCGGTCCTCTTTTCGCGAAATTCGAACTCAACCGACATTATGGTGTAACGGTGATATATTCAAACATTTTTTTTAAATAGGATAAAAATTGTGAACACAGGACAAAGGGGGGGGGGGAGGGTGATATACAAGTTTGAAGACTATGAGAGGAGAAAGGGGTGATATACAAGTTACTATAGAGGAGAAAGGGGTGGTGGTGGGTGATATACCAGTTTAAATACTATGAGAGGAGAAGTGGGTTGTCGAGTGACAGATCACTTTAAATACTATGGAAGGGGCAAGGGGCGGTGAGGTGATATAAAAAGTCAAATACTATGAGAGGAGAAAGGGGTGGTGGGGTTATGTACAAGTTTAAATACTATGAGAGGAGAAATGGGTGGTATACAAGTTTAAACACTATGAGAGGACAAATGGCTTTAAATACTATGGGAGGAGCAGTACTTTGAGAGGAGAAAGGGGTGATATACCAGTTTAAATACTGTGAGAGGAGAAGGGGGGGGGGAATATACAAGTTTAAATACTAGAGAGGAGAAAAGGGTGATATTCCAGTTTAAACACTATGAGAGGGCAAGGAGTGGAGGTGTGTGTGAAATAGTTTTCTTTAACATTGGCTTCCACTGAGGTGATATCGCAGACAATGGAGTGGAGGGTGAGATACATGTTTAAATACTATGGGAGGCAGGGCCGTATGTAGGATTTGAAAAGTGGGGGTGCAGCACAGTGGTGGGGCGCCATAGCCTACACGTATGTGATATAAGAAAGTTTTGATCAGGACAAACGAACCCATTGGCTTGTGGGCGCCCTTAAAACCGATCGACAAGAGCATCACAGAGGACCTAAAAAAAACCCACGAGGTTGGACAGGCGACCCTAGTCCTTGTCACGTATAACTAGGGAATCGAAACCACGCCAGTTGACTCAATGACAGACCTTATGATACAGTACGCACATGCTAATTCAGCCATCCCCCTCCCACCACACTATGAGAGTAGAAATGGGTGGTGGTGTGATGGGGTGATATACATGTTCAAAGTTTAAACACTATACAGAAAGACATTGGTTTATGAATCAGCTACTGAGATACACTGATGGTTAAGGGATTATTTGGGGATATTATAGTTGATAAAACAGTTCAAGGGGCATAACTGAACATAATATTTCAGATAATCATTATCTATACAGCCCACAATTGTATAACCACAGAATATTTAGTTCTAAAATTATTTTTAATAAGTGCAAAAACATACATTTATGTTATCCATAATAAAAGTCAGATATTCAACAACATAGGTATACTAAGATATATTTAGATATAATAATTCCATAAAATAGCAGTCAACAATATGAGTAGATCTTATAGAGGTATATGAAAATAAGCTGAATTTTGTGTAATATCGTTAGCAGCACCAAAAAAATTAAAACTATCCAAGTACTAACATTTCAATTTTGTTAATTTAGATGCTTTTCTTGTAGTTCTACCATCTTCGGTATATGGAGTAGACAAAATACACTTATCTAAAATGAAAATTATTTTCATAGGATTCTTTTTAGGATAGTAAATTAATAAGAGTTTCAAAGATATAAACTAAATGGACGGTAAGTTTACTAAGACATATCCAAACCCATAACACATTTTATTTAATACATTTACAAAATATTAGCCACTATGGTAGTGCATTCATCTAGTTAATAAACAAATGTACAAACTTTATCAAGACCTTTTAACAGACACATAATGTCATTTGAAATACAAATTAAAACACATATAACATAAATAAAGAATGAAATATATCACAGGCTATAAACAGTTAATATATATATTTATTATTTACCAATAACATAACATACAAAGCAACCAGGTTTTTGTTTTTTTTAAATCAATATTTAGGTTCTGTTTCTTTTTAAGGCCCCAAGCACAAGTCCTGACTGATGGCAGAGTAATTATGAATTAAACAGATAAATTTATATTTAAGAGTATAGAAAGATGGACAGATTAGAATAATGTACTAGTAGATTATAAAGTAATTACGATTATAAAGACATTAACATACAATGGGCAGAAAGACTGGACACTGACTAACCAGCAACAAGACAGTATTTAATACCAGTGAGAAGGCAGTCTGTATAAGATTAACACTAGCATGTAAAGGGACTTTTTAAAACATACAAAACATGATGAAACAAAGAAGGTTAACCGTAAATTGTGTAAAGAATGTAATAAAAATGTATGGAATAACATATTATAAACTGTTTCTTTAATCTAATCGTTCACTGTTTCATATCTGTAATAAAATAAAATAAATTTATTAATAATGGAATAGAATATGTCTACTCAACACTTGATCATTGTGAATTTTATTCTATGTTACATTAAAGATACATTATGGGAGATTAGATAAAGAGTTTACTGTTTGCGCTGTAATAGTTAAAAAATAGATAACGTAAATAGAATATGTTGAAAATTTCAGTCAAATTGCTCCACTCTGAACCGAGATATTAGCTTTTGATCATCATTTAAAAAAAGTCTCGATCATCCATTTTTGGATTTAATCATCAATGAGCGTTAAGCAGCAGATAGGATTCAAATCCAGTGAAAATCCGACACACAACGAGACATCGAGAGTTGATTATGGTTTAGATAAGTTAATTAATGTCTAATTAATAGTTTATATAACATTTCAGGCCTAAAGAAAGACGTGCAATAGGCAGATTTAGCTCTTGCATAATGTACGTTTAATAGCAATGCTGCAGAGGGTGAGTTAACCCTTTCGGTAGCATCATTGTCCACACTTCTAAAAATTTAAAAAATCAAGGAATCCATTATGCACATTGCCAATTTGAAGACCAGTCTCTTCCATTTCTTACCATCTAACCAATTAGAAACACTTTCTTTTGTTTTTGATCATGTAATTTCTCCAATTTGTCTGCTTCTATTACTGGAAGCTAAATCAAATATAGCAGCATCTATGTACAGGGACCTGTGGTTTGCAATGATACATTACTAAACCTTGGGTTGTGATTACCAATATGTTTAGCATTAGGTTATGCTTGATTAAAATGATACATTACTAAAACAGGCTTGTGATTACTAAATGTGCTAAGTGTATTGTTATGCTTTTAGTGTTATATTATGTTCTTAGTGTTGTGTTATGCTTGAAGTCTAATATTATGGTCACTTCGCTTCATTGCTGATGAATGTAAAGCCATAATAACTATCTCCCTATTAGGTATGCACAAGTTTTATTAGTTATCTGCTATGGTTATGTGGGATCTTTGGTATCGATATGCCTTTCCAGTGATATATATTGACTTACTTAGATAGTCGTTTACGTAAATCTTTCATCTGTTCATTTTTCTTCTGTAACATTTGCTTTAAGTTTTTAAAAGGCGCTGTCAAACTAACTTTCTTCTCCAGTTCCTGAAATAAATAACAAAGAATTAAAACTAACATGTAGGTTGAATCAGTATTAGGAAAATTGGCAGTGTTAAAATCACAAGTTATATAGGCTGTTCAGATGGCAAAAGATGATATAGCATTCCTGGTGACTTTAATCCAAGCTCCGTTTTCATTAACTCACTCGGAGCAGAACAGTAGGACATTAAACCCCTTTTCATTTCATTGTCCAGGCCTATTTTAATAGTCCGCTACTTAGGCTAAGCAATTTGATTAGTTGAGACCAAGGAACACATAACTTTGGTCCTAATTGGGTGAGAGTGACGAAACTCACGAGAATAGATTCATTATATCAAAAGCTTGGCTAAGCTCAATGATGAGAATTTTATGCTTAGACTAAGTAGCGATAAGCAATTTGATTGATCAAAAAGATAAATGTGAAATTAATCAATATGTATCATCTATTTATTTTGGGATTTCGGTGGGGGACATCAGCTTCACTGTTAGTTTGTTTCATTTAATCCAACCTAGTTTATAATACCTATTATAACCAACGATTCTCACTTTTTCGGTCAGATCATATTATTAATTTTATATGCGCAGAGGGCATGATGATAAAGCTGATGTTATTATTATGGTACAATTTAAGAAAAAACTAATGTGTTAAGATGAATACTGGGTCATAGGCAGAGGCTTGTGAAACGAACTAATAAGCCCACTAGCAGCAAAAAGGTAAGTGCTAGATCTAAAATCATTGTCAACAAATCCAACATGAATTCTTTCCCAAGCTTTCCCTTGAACAATCCCACCGTCCACAACTAGACGGACGGACGGACGGGGTGACAACAATATACGGCAACATTTCAATGTGAGCTTATAAAAATAAGATCTGACCGGTTGTAATGGGAGGTCACGTCAGGGGTCGTGTAAGTGACTTTTGACAATATGAAGTCAGTCATTCGATTAACTGATCAGCATAAGTGTTCTAAGTGGCTATTCAGAAATATAACTGAGAATGTTTACCCACAGTTCTGTGCGCCACACTATAAGAAATCGACCCTATGTAGTGTAGACAAGCAAAACAAAATTTTGAACTATAAAAAAGAAACGAAATAAGATCTCTGTTTTAATCAGATAGATAAAGAGATGAATATTGAATAGAAGATGAATGTTGAACAAGCCAACAGTGAGGCTGATATTTTCCATCCCAATCCCAAAATGAATAGATGAAACTCATTATCTTTTTATAAAGCATCTAGCAATCACTCTGCTTAACCTAAGCAGAAAAGGTTCAAGAAATGAAATGGGGTTTAACGTCCTATTGTTCTGCTCCGACTGGGCTAATGAAGACGGGCATCCGCCATTTAGTCTTCTATGAGGGAAATTTTGCTGGACAGCAGCGCTAAGACCTACTCTTGTATCGATTTCCAACTGTCAAGTCATCTTTTATGTGCACGCCAATGTGTACACAGCTGTCCTTGTCAGGCCCTCCCACTCCCAGACCAGCGAACCTGCATCTTACCCACCGTGGCTTCTCCAGTCAAGACAAGCAATCTACACCAAATTTGAACATTCTAACTTAATTAGAAGTTTGTGTGTGTGTGTGTGGGTGTGTGTGGGTGTGCGGGTGTGTGTGTGTGTGGGGGGGGGCGAATGATTAATGCGTATCATTAGGTCTCTCATTGAGTCAAGTGGCGTGGTTTTGATGCCCCCTTGTAGTAGGGTCTCCTGTCCAAACTCGAGGGGTTTTCCCCAGGTCCTCCCATTGTGTCTCTATCTGTGTGTGTGTGTGTGTGTGTGTGTGTGACAGGCAGACTACACCAAGTTTGAACAATCTATGTCATTAGTCCCCTCCTTTTGTCGAAGACTATAATATATAAATCATTTTTTTTGTTGACAACCTACAAAATTGAGAAGTACCCAGATCAAATTACCTTTTCAGCCATTTCCAACATTTCCCGTATTTTGAGTAGTTCATGTTTCGTTCCGGCAAGGTCGTGGGTCAAGTTGGCGGCAGTATCAGCACCTGATCTACGGGACTGAAAATAAAATTAAACATACATTAGCAAGAGCTAAATCTGTCTATTGTGGGTCTTTCTTTAGGCCTGAAATGTTATCTAAATTATTAGTTAGACATTAATTGACATATCCAGACCATAATCAACTCTCAATGTCAACGCTAGTCTGCGATATTTACTGGATTACGATCAGATTTGCTGCTCAACTTGCATTCGCGATTTAATCATGAAATGGATAATCGGGACTATGTTTGTTTATAGTATCGACTTTAGTAATGATCGAGGCTAGGAAGAAAATTCAATTGCTAATTGAGTGGATCAATTTGACTGAAATTTTCAGCAATTCCCTTTATATTATCTAGTTTTTAACTAATATAGTGAAAACTGCCAGCTCTTTATCTAATCTCCCATAATGCATCTTTAAATTAAAGAGGAATGTGTTTTAATGGATCTTTATTTTGTGATTGCTACAGTGTAATGTACTTTAGCATATAAGTGTAAATGTATCTTTCCACATTTAATGTAGGTACTTCAACAAGTACAGAATTATCATAAATTAATTACATGTCTGTCCTAACATTTTCTTTTCTTAAATCATATTCTTGTCTTAAGTGATATTATGATCAGTCCCACACATATTGACAGAATTCCAAAAATAGTTAGAGTTATATTGACCAACGCAGTGATTTAATTTTCAGTGTATGTACATAACAGCTTCGAGTCTTGATAAAAACAAGTTAGGAATAGGAAGTCCTATTCTTTAAGTGCCAAAGACTAAGGAATTGATGGCTTTCTGAGGAAGATGGCACCAAAGATTTTATTCCTGAGAGATAAAATTTTAATATAGGATTAGATATTATTTATGATTCTCCTACCTGTTCAAGGTCAGACTGTAATCCAGACATTTTTCGATGAAGATCTTCTAAATCAGCTTGTGTAACATTTGACTAATAATGATAAAAAAAAATGAACATACATAGAGTATCATAGATTATATTGTATCAAAACAGTGCCATATTGACCAGGACTCTTTATTTCACAATTTTCAGTAATTTTTGACAATGAAATGGAGACATGAAAAATACATGTGTCATATCATAAAATAAAGTACATGTAATTCAAAATGCACACATTAAAACTTGGTAATTTTATATGCCCACAATTGCTTGTGAACGCTCTAGAGGCTAAAGTTAATATCCCAGTGACTTTAAATTTATACACAGTATTTAAGGTCATGAGATGAAGCCTATTGATTTTCAACGATTTCTGATAATTACTGCCAGTTATGGCTCTTGATCACTTTGAAATATCTTGTGGATGCTCTAGAGGCTAAAGTTAATATCTGATTGACTTTAGAATTATACAGTGTTTAAGGTCATGAGACGAAGAAGCCTAATCTTGTGGGCACTCTAGAGGCTAAAGTTAATATTCAATTGACTTTAAATTTATACCGAGTGGTCATGAGACGAAAAAGCCTATTGATTTTCACTGATTTCTGATAATTACTACCAGAGTTATCATCTGATTGATTTTAAATTAATACACAGTGTTTAAGGTCTTGAGATGAACAAGTATATTGATTTTAAATGATTTTTGATAACTTAAACAGCTAAATATCATGGTATTAAATGTTTTGTATACTAAACGTTAGCTTGCGGCAGAACTAGAAGCCAAACAAATTCTAATGATTTTCTGATAATTACTTAAACATACATTATGCAAGAGCAAAATCGGCCTATTGTAGGTCTTTCTTTAGGCCTGAAATGTTATAAAAACTATTAATTAGACATTAATTAACTTATCCAGACCATAATAAACTCTCGGTGTCAAGGCTTGCCTGCGATATTTGCTGGATTACAGTCCGATTTGCTGCAAAACTTTCCTTCGTGATTAACGATTAAATGGATAATCAAGACTATTAGTTTTGTCTTATCGACTTCAGTAATGATGATCGAGGCTAAGCGGAAATTTCATCCGCTTAGTTCTCGGTTAATAGTAGATCAATTTGACTGAAATTTTCATCAAGTTGCCTTTACATTATGTAGTTTTTAACTATTATAGTGAGAACTGCCAACTCGTTATCTAATCTCCCATAATGTATCTTTAATGAGTTTAATCTTTGAGTTGTTACTCTTAATCAGATTGTAGTTTATTGTAAATGTTTCATTACCTACAAACGAAAAAAATATGCGACAACTCTTGCTGACTGCCCGGACGATTTAGCTGCTGTAAGCTTATGTTTTGTTGCCTATCAACCTATCTTTCAGTATAAACATCACTTAAAAATTGATTAAAATTAGTTTATACAGATTATCTTGAGCATCTTTAGTCAATATAACAAAGAAAAATATTTGACTATAAAAATAATACCAAATTTTGAAATGATAGATGAACTCTTATATTAATCTTCGAGTGATTAATCTACTGAGAGATTTTATGAAAATAGCGTTTCTGGAAACACCTTTTATACCACTTCCTATTACAAATGACAGTGAGAGCAACCTTTCATCATATGTCTTTTCATATTATTCTGATCAAAAACTACATTTTTAATTAGGATTTTAATGTGACAAAATCTTCTTACCTTTCTAGCTCTCAATTCAGCTTCTGCCTTTTCTAAATCTGTAGCTAGTGCTTGACTTCTAAATCTCCCTTCAAGATCCTAAAATTAAAATCAATAAACATAGAAAAGCTGCACAAATGTAAAACAATCATAAAAAAAGAATCATTTCTACCACAGTAAAAATGTGGTGCAGTCAGTAGGAAAGCTCAATTTGTAAATTTTAACCATAAAAGTCAGGATTCAAGTACAATATTGACTTCTTTGGCAGGTCATTTCATCCCCATTCATTATATATCCATGGTTATAAAAAGATAATAGAACCTAGATAAAACCAGAATCCCGCTTGTTATTCATTACATTTGAGATCATTATTACAGATGTGGGGCACATGCCAAATATTCCTAATATATTTACTTACCACTTTTTCATATTTTGATAATCTCTGTCTTAAAGCATCATTGTCATTCATTATCTCATCAATTCTCTAAAAGATAAAAAAAATACATGGAATTTGAGATTTAGTGTTTAATAAAATTTTTATCTTGAGACTAATTTTTATAAAAAATCTACATTTACTGTGATTCAATATGTAATGGTAGGAAAGGGATTTATGTCACTACAGGCATGTTTTCGACCTGATCTTTTTTGTCTTAACATGCTTATCCTTTGTCTTTAACATTTTTATGCTGTGCATTGTTAACTTTGTCTTTATCATGTTCAATTATATGTTTATGCTGTATATTGTTAACTTTGTCTTTTAACATATTTATCCCGACATTGTTAATTTTGTTCAATATTATGTATATATTGCACATTATTATTAAAGTTATCTTTAATAATATACTTATGCTGTACATTGTTCACTCTGTCCTATTGGGGGGTTGGATGGCCGAATGGTTAGCGAGTGCACGCTGTATCATATGGTCTATCATTGAGTCAACTTGCGTGGTTTTGATTCCCTGGTTGTACCTGACAAGGAGTAGGATTTTCTCCGGGTCCTCCAGTTTCCTCTTTGAACTATGTGATAGTCGCAAAATGATCTTGTTTGTGTTGAGTGGAGGTTAAACTCTCTCTCTCTCTCTCTCTCTTTGTAAATGGTCTTTGGATCACATGCCTGCAAGCATGCTCGACAGACCCATGAAAACAACTGCCTGTAGTTGCTATCTGATGTAGCAATGCTTCATAAGCTGATAATGCTTGTTACCATTGCTTCAATAATACATGGCAAAAAATTTGCTCTGGCACTGACCTGACTTAATTACTCACACAAAAAAGATAGGTTGCCAGGCGACGAAACATGCCCACAGCAGCTAAATCATCCGGGCAGTCAACAAGAGTAACAACTCATTAAGTAATTATTAGGAAATCATTAGAATTTGTTTGGCCCATGCTAATGTTTTGTATACAAAACATTTAATATCATGGATTTAGCTGTTCAAGTTATCAAAAATCATTGAAAATCAATACACATGTATTTGTTTGTCTCAAGGCCTTAAACTCTGTGTATCAACCTAAAGTCAATCGAAAAGATTATATATAGGTGTAAACATGATGTATAAATATAAAATCAATTAGATGATAACTATGGTCTCTAAAGCATCCACAAGATTTTTCAAAGTTATCAAGGGCCATAACTCAGACAGTAATTATCGGAAATCGTTGAAAATCAATAGGTTTCTTCGTCTGATGACCTTAAACACTGTGTATAAATTTAAAGTCACTCAGATATTAACTTTAGCCTCTAGATAGTAGAGCATCCACAAGATTTTTCAAAGTGATCAAGGGCCATAACTCTGGCAGTAATTATCAGATATTAACTTTAGCCTCAAGAGTGCCAACAAGATTTTTCAAATTGATCAAGGGCCATAACTGGCAGTAATTATCAGAAATCGTTGAAAATCAATAGGCTTCTTCGTCTCATGACCTGAAAAACTGTGTATAAATCGGATATCAACTTTAGCGTCTAGAGCGTCCAGCAATTGTGGATGTCAGATGGACGGATAGACGGGGGCGACGACAATATACGACCACATTTAAATGTGGGCGTATAAAAACTGGTTCTGCATTTAATATGTAAACAGATATAAACATCTACAGAGTAGTAATCTTTACCATGTGCAGTAAGGCACTGCCACCTGTTTCATTAAGGGGAGCTAACTTTGATGGAGTAAACTCTGTATCACGTTTTGTACCAGTGAACTCCCTTTCTTCAAATTCCTTTATCTGTTCCAATAAATCCCTAGAAAATAATAAACAGATATACATAGGTCATTGAGCATTAAGTGTATAAAATCTTTGTAGTGAACACATTATAATAATGATTTAGAGGGGCATTTTAAGCCTGTTAAATTGGCTAGTTTTACTCTAGGTTTTTCATCAGGTTTCAGGCCAATTAAATATTGGTCATGTCGGAAGATATCCTCTTATGGTACTTTTGGGAATGAATCAAAAAAGTTAATATCACTTCTAGTCGTTGTTTTTTGTATTATAGAGGAGAGCCGAAAAAAGCTCCCCTTAATGAACAAATTGAAAAAATCGCTCCCCTAGTTTCAATAAGAAGAATGGTTTAAAAATTAAGGATAACGATCTGATATCAAGAGAGTGATTAGTTTTAGGTATATGGAAAATGGTTCTGAAGATCAATAACTGTGTGTAAGGTGTCATTCCTGGTTACATAAATGATTAAATGATAACAAACATCATCTGCTAAATAAACGCATTCATACTCGTAGTTGTACGGTCAAAAACTTTTGCTATCGTCTAAAACTAATAGAAATACTTGTCTAAATTTCTAAATATTTATAGCTTGTATAAATTTTGTTTAAAAACATAACTCATATTCAAAATATAATCATAAACGCTCGAAAATTCCAGCAAAATATAATCTATTTCTTCCAGAATTATTTTCATTGGAAATTTTCATGTGCCATCTCTTGTAATTTCTCATGTCTCGCAAGAGTTCTACTTTACATTTCAGTTAAATTAACCAATGATGCATAGGTGCCATCTATTTTTAGCAACTTATTCATCAGAATCTTATTACCATGTGCGATCACATTATACAATAATCGAATACACCAAATAAATGTTCACAATGACAGCATGGCGGCGATCGGAATTTGAGTCTTTCACACTCTTTTTTTTTTTTTTTTAAAAAATACAGATCTCACTGATTTACAAATAAGGAGAGCGATTTTCAATTTTAGGTGAGGGAGAAAAAAAAAACTCCCCTCAGTCGACATTCAGGTGTGCGACAGGCACTCGCAAGTGATCGCGCCTCAAAATACAATGAATGCACTTCACCCTGACCCTGATAAATCTACAAGTACATGTACTTTACAATGCACATAAGTACCTGTTTTCCAACTCTGAAATATCAGCCTGCAGTTTAAGATGCCATTTTTCGGATTGTTGAAACATTTGTCGCATCATAAGGACGTTGGTATGGGCTGTGTTAATGAGTTCTGATTCCACCTCTCCACGGACGACAGATAGCAGACCATCCAACATGTCAATCATCTCATCACGAGTAAATGTAGCATCATTCAATCTTCAATAAAAAGAACAAATCATTAGTTCTCAACAAAAAAAATGGTTACTATTGAAAATACATGGTTTCACTAATATAAATGATGCATATAAATTTGATACAGATCAGATCATAAATTTTGGCATTCACAAGGTTCAACAAAGTGAAAAAAGGGCCATAACTCTAGACGTAATAAATGGAAATTGATGAAATTCAAGAGGCTACTTTATTTCACTAATTTAAATAATGCCATAACTCTAGACGTAATAAACGGAAATTGCTGAAATTCAATAGGTTTCTTCATTTCACTAATTTAAATAATGCATATAAATTTCACAAAGATTCATTGATAATTTTTGCCGTAAGAGCGTTCACAAGGTTCAACAAAGTGAAACAAGGGCCATAACTCTAGATGTAATAAACGGAAATTACTGAAATTAAATAGACTTCTAAATCTCACTAATATAAACAACATATATCAATTTTAAAACAATCGGATGATAACTTTATGCGTTAGAGAATTCACAAGAAATTGGGACGACGGGCGGACGGCAATATACGTCCACATTTCTATGTGGGCGTATAAAAATGTACTCAAATTGATTAAGAAATTAAAATATCAAGATTTAGCGAAGATTATAGGTGGAACTGGCTTGTTTTGACAATATTCTGTTTATATCATCTGCAGAATTTTGACAAATTTTCAATTCATCTAATCTTTATAAATACTGATCAGAATTGAACCATTTTTGGATTGAACTGATGTTCCTGTTAAGAGATTGAATATTCACAATACTATAGTGTACAAAAAATCTTTCAAATGACAATCAATGACTGATTGGGAATTTACAATGTACTATTTCAAAGAGTCTGAAAACCATAAATCCAATTCAAACAATTATCTTAGATATCATACACTCCAAAGGATCTTCTTTGGTTGTTATCATCACTAAGGTTAGCTATAATACAATGTATTTTCTCTCACTGGGTGGAATTCAGTGCCTTTTGGTTGAATTGAAATTTATGTAACCATACCTGCTGCCTTGCAGTTCCTCAAAACAAGCATCAACTGCTCGTAACCTTTGCCCTCTTTGATATCGAGCAAATCGCATGTAATTAATAACCTGATTCTGATGATGTTCATTTACTCCTAATTCACTCTGGAAAGAAATATAAATATTCATTTCAATTCATCAATTACATAATAATCAATCTGCAATCTGGACAACACAGTATTACGCTAGCAATCTCAACCTCTTCAGAATAGGGACCTATGTTAAAATTTGTATTGACTAAAATGTGCTTGCCATGAAGTATCTCATAAGAGATACTGCTTTGCCAACAAATATATTTTGTCCCAGTAGTCTGAATGTATTTTCCAATCGATGGATTATACATTATAATTATATGATCCCAACTCTAGAGGAAATGTAAATTTTGTAATCCAGCACAGTTAAAGTAAGACAACCCTGCAGACAAGACACATATTAACTACACACTGCAACACAAACTATAAACAACAAGTGTATCAAAATTCAAATCAGGTGAATGGTTTACGGTAGATTTGGAGCTTAGAGGCTTGAAATTCAATGTGGACATATTCAATATAATACTGCTTGCTAAAATATCTTTTTTTCCAAGTAGATGCTACTGGAACAAGAACAAAATGATTCCTACATAATTTGATTACTCAGGAGTAAAATTACAAAAAAAATAAAATAAAGCATAATGGGTAGGTTTTTTACAGCTAAGTTGTCCACAACCATTGGTTAAGTCATCCACAACTAATAGTTGACTCGTACAGACAATAATTTTATGGAATAAAACAGTCTTAGACTCTTAGTCATCGGTTGTTAATAACTGTTTTATTTACCAAATAATTAACCATTATGGTTGACCGATCACGGTCAAGATTAGTTCACCAATGTTTTTGTAATAAAAAAGCCTTGTATTGTTTGTCGATTGGTGTTATGATTTTAGACATGAAGAAAATCAAATCGAAGATTAGACGCACCGTGCTGTCCATTAAGGTTTAGAAATTTAATTGAATTGACATGAAATCTGCATACAGGTTATTCGATGGATACATGTACATGTTTGTGCACTTGGCAAACCTCGGCAGATTCAGGTACTCTACATCTAGCCTCGGCTGTATGACGGTAAGTGATATGTACCTACGCCTATACAATTGCGATGCGGCACCGGTTTATTTATTTGGAAAACTTGCCGCTTTTTAAAAAGAGGTTATCAAAATTGCGTCGCACGAAGCGTGTCTGTAATTTTTAGTGTAAAGTTGTCCTTGTTTGAAGAAAATCGGATAAACTTTAAAGAAAAACAACTTCAGACTTTGAAATTTTTGTATAAGTTAAGACATTCTTCAAAGGCGTCGTCATGGACAACGCCGTTGGTAATCCGGGAACTTAAAAGTAGTTCCAATGGAGGAATTTGTCATACAGCCGAGGCTAGATGTAGGGCACTGCAATCTGCTGAGGTCTGCTGAGTGCATGTTTGTGATAAGATTAGTTTATATGATGTCCAACATTGTTTATCTTCTTTATAAAAAGGTATTTTACAACATTCACACACTAACACTATTTATGGAATAACAATTACTGGTTTATTAACATGCATGCAACCTATTAGTCAAGAAGATCGTCACTCAATACACCACATAACATTGCCATTTCTTGTCACAGACCCGAGACAGCTCACTTGGGATTTCTCCGTAGGCTAACGAAAATCGATAGTGTTCACTGATTTATCATTGATTAATCAGGACTGAATTCTAACGCTGAACATTTTTTCAACACTAATAAAGATGTATAATAAAGTTACCATTTTGTCAACAAATTATAAGGTCTTCAATGGTATATCAATATGTAAAAGTGGACTAAAACTTTCAATAAATTTCTCGGGAAAATGAAAACTGTTTTAGTGCCTAATGTGGACGGATGCGATGAACCTTGAATTAAAGGCCCGCAACATTTATTAGAAACACGTTTAAAAAATGTATTTGATAAATTTCTATATTACAAAAATTATTCTGGGGTAGAAACAAAATATGGACAATAATACATTATTGTGCAAATATTTATAAGATTGATATATTTTTTCTTCCGGTTGCGTCATCGCAGTAAATTTCCAAAATGGCGTCTGGAGGTAGGACAGCATGGCCCAAACCGCTCAATTTATATCACAAATATTATTAAATAAAATGCCCAAAACTAAATAGTCGAAGCACAGTGATTCCAAAAAATAATATGGACACCTTTTGGCAAAATGTCGGACAAAAATATGTGGTAAAACACCTTTAATTGGGTCAATAATAATACCATATTGTGCATTGCGATTTCTGATTGATCATGATAGGGAGGTGCCATGCCAATTTCCAATGGAAAGAAGGCGGATCCCCCCCCCCCCGCGTTATGTTGTGCTGTTGTAGTGGTTGTCATTGTGTATGATGATGTAATGAAAATATGCAAAACGTTTGCTCATTCTCAATCAATTAGAAACATAGTTATCGTGTTTCAACTTAATATGTAACAGGCATTGCCTGAGTAGAGTGAAGCTGATTATTGTCAAATATAAAACCTTCATAATTAATTTTCTCAAGTGATACAAAAAATGTTAAATAATTTAGTTTTCTCCAAATTGATTTTCATTTAGATCTAAATTGTATACATTAATTTTGTTTTTAAAAAAAGAACAAGAAAGTGTGAGAATTATTTTCATTGACATCAAAAATATGTGACGTCATTGATTAGACGCGTCATAGAAATAGTTCTATGAGGCGCGTAATCTCGCTTGGGCGAGATTTGGTAAGTTGACATGCGCATTGCCTGTTTTGCCCAGTGTATCCGGTTCCGGTCTGAATTTTTTTTTAATCAACAGTCTGTGGGTGACAATTTCAGTTACGCTCCTGTGTTACCGGAAAAGAGCTTTGATCAAGCACCGCGCTTTGCGCGATGCTTTAGAGCTTCGCTCTATATTAGTATCTAGCAATCAAACTGCTTTTTTTTTTTTACCTCAACCTGAGCTGTAAAGTTTATATTTATTTAACTAATTTGATTTATAAACACAAAAACATAATATGGAGCACAATTACTATTTATATTAAAGTGATGTTTTGTTCAGGGTTCTCTCAACGTTATCAAACAAAATTAAAACAGTAATTGTGTTCTATATTATGTTTTTGTTTTTATTTTGCTAAATGCTGCTCAAAGAAGATAACTAATTTATTTGTATGTATGAAAAATTTATTTGGATATTTTCGTTTTCAGGTAAAAAAAATAAGAAGAAGGGGAAGTCTATGAACCTAAGTGAATTCTTAGGTTCTAATGAACCCGTTGTATCTACAAAGAATATAGACTGGGCAGCTGAGATGGAAAATGCGGATGATGGTTTGTATATTTCTCGAGATATAAACTGTATTTCAGATGTAAATTTACTCAAGTGTATATTTTACCCCAGTTTTATTGTTCTATGCTGTCAAACCTGGGAGCTGGTTGTTTCATCCCATACCATTTCACCACAGCCTGTTTCTTCCAATCCTGAAGTCAAATGAAATTATAAGCTGAATATAGAAGCTTTGCTTCTTCCTTCGAAGTATGTTAGGAGTTACTTCTCTCATTACATGATACAATTGGAAATCAGTGAGACTAACTTTGGTTTATATAGCAGCACTGATCTTTTTGAAATTCAAGAAAACAATTATTTGACCCTAGACTGCTAGAGCTTTATTATTGCAATACTGTATTGGTTATTAGAATGGAGTTTGTCATGGAATTAAACTTTTTGATCCATTTATGTTAGAGGTCATTGTTTAGATGCTTGCTAATTTAGAGATGATTTGTTTGTTTTAAGTATAGAGATAAAAATGGGATTAGTAAGCTAAGCTTAGTTGTAAAACAAATATAACAAATAAATATAGGCTACACCACATTTCTAATCGAAAAACAACTTACACATGCATGATGTATAAAATGTTATGTCAGCATTTTCATCGTGAACTGCTGAATTTAGAAGGGGCCAAATTTAGGGATCTAATTAGAGGCTCATTCTCGTATAACTGGAGAATCTAAATTATATTTGTCAACAATGCTGAACATATATTTCTCTTTTATTTATAATTATGTTTTTTAGCCTGTTGCGCATTAGCTGGGGAAATTGTATGTTATTAAACAAAAATGAACATTTATTTCCACTTAGTCTAAGCTTTTTTTGTCTTCAGATTTTGGAGCTGCACCTTATGGTCAGCAGTTGTTTGATCGATCTAAATTACCTAAAGCCCCAAAAGCGGCTCGGGGACCAGATGTTGATATGAGTAAAGTTCCTACCCAGCCACCATTTACAGCTTTTATTGGCAACCTGCCATATGAATCATGTGAAGATAAGATTGAAATGTTCTTCTCAAAATTAAAGGTTTAAAAATATTTTAAAATTAGCTCTTAATTATTAGTAGTTTAATATAAAGAGGGCAGAGAACAGAAAAACCAGACTGATTACTCAGATGAACCTTGTTATTGGTGTCATTTAATGCACACTGAAGCTATTGAATCTACAAGTCTGCGGTGAATTATGCATAGTCCAGTATGTAGTATCTCAACTGGGAAGTTATATCATAAAAGCTGTATATAGTTATGTTTATATTTATTAAATACATATGTTGAATTTCAGTTCTTGAATGTGAGATTACCATCAGACCAAGGTAGATTACGTGGATTTGGTTATGTGGAATTTGAAGACAGAGAATCTTTATTGGAGGCATTAACAATGGATGATTCAGTAAGTTGTTCATAGACAAGTAACCAAAATGCAAAAATAATTTTGTGTATGCCTTTGTGAAAGGAGGAATACTACTTTCACTCTTATCTGAAATATGGTGTTAGGTGTTCTGTCAAGAAGATTAACCTCTCTGTCACACTGATCTAAAAAAAAAAAGTGTTATCGCTTTCACACTCATCTGAAATTGTTAGTAACATTAACTTTGTTCAAATCCCCAGGAAAAGTAAAATTTTGAGTTGGAGTATGAGTTTGAAATTAATTTAATCCAAATCATATGTGAGATACTTACAGTAACTTACACATAGCATGGAATTTCCTGATATCAGTCCAGAAAATCAGCATGGTGGGGCAGTCCACGGAAGCTTACCTGGCAACTCATACACTATCAAATATTTTCTTAAAATATACTTCTTACTCTGTCCAAAATTGAGTGCTGGTACTCTTCTCTTTGTTACTAGTATATATCAATAGTTTATGTTACTGTATATAATTTAAATTAATCAAAATTAATTTATTTAAGATGTTTGCTGGTAGAAAGATAAGAATAGATTTAGCTGGTCAGAATCAGAACAACCAAGGAGGAAGTTCAGGTATTATTCAACCTTTTTTTTTAGATGTTCAGAGATTGGCACAAAATAACATTTTATGTTGCGTCTAGAGCTTGTGGGTACCTAGATTGAAAATTAGATTGGGGTGTAATCACATAATGCTTATCAATGTTCTGTGTATTATTGTGTAGTCTTTAGAAATACAGTATTGTCAACTTTTTTGTACCTTGCGAGTAATAAAATTGCTGAAACCCCTTTAAAACAAAACAAGTAATAAAATACTGTAATTCAAATTATAATTCTAAACTCGTTTGTAATTGTGGCATGCTTTGAGTATTTCATCTAGAATATGGGATAACCCTAATCTAAAATGTTTCTTGTCTACTGCATGATTTGGCTACTGTTTTTCTATTAGTGTGATATTTAGTAATTTAATGAAACATATTGTTTGTAGATGGTCGATCAAGAGATCAGGGCCCTGATCGTACAGATAGTGATTGGAGACGACCTGGACCTGACACGCCAGACCAAGGTTAGTTAGATTTGATCATATGTCGTCTCTATTTTTTAAAAAAATCTGGAGGACCTACTGTACTACTTATATTTCACCAAGTAATGTGTGTGTGTGTCCATACAGTGTATTATTGAGTTCCGAATTATGCTTCAATATAGTGTTTTAGAAATAATTATTTTTTAATGATAAACCATTAACACGATTTACTATAATTTCATTTTTCAGATGACAGAGGAGGTCGTTATGGTGATAGAGATGGTGGTAGTCGCTACGGAGATAGGGATGGAGGCAGTCGCTTTGGAGATAGAGATGGCGGTAGTCGTTTTGGCGATAGGGATGGTGGTAGTCGTTTTGGCGACAGAGATGGTGGTCGCTATGGAGATAGAGATGGTGGTAGTCGTTACGGAGGAGGTGGTCGTAGCTATGATCGTGGAGGTAGCAGCTATGGAGATAGAGATGGTGGTCGTTATGGAGATAGAGATGGTGGAAGATATGGTGGTGATAGAGATGGTGGAAGGTATGGGGGCGATAGAGATGGTGGAAGGTATGGGGGCGATAGAGGTGGCGGACGCTATGGCGACAGAGATAGAGGTAATTGATAAATCAATGATATGTTTTAACAATTTATACACTCAGATTGAAATGTTATATATTGTCCATCTGTTATCAAAAACTGCTTGTGGATGCCTTGGAGGCTAAAGTTATCATTCGATTGACAAAGAAGCCTATTTCCGATTTTCAAACATTTCTGATCATTACTTTCTGGTTCTCAGTTAGATCTATGTGACTCAGTGATCATTGACCGAGAAAGTTCCTTGAGGTTTTTAGAACATTGTTTCCCCTTGTCACTGGTGCAGGGCGGACAGAGAATGGAGTCCCATTTACACATTGGTGTGCATGTAAATGAAACCTTAGCAGTTGGAATTTGATGAAGAGTAAGCAGAAACGATGTCAAATATAATTATTTCTTTTAATATATGGATGGGTTATTGCGCTTGATCAGTTTTTAACTTGTTGTAATTGCTACTATTACTAACAACTGAATAAAAATGTGACTATATGGATGTCCTAGCAGCTTTGGCTCTACAGCTTGTTGTTGATCATGATTATGTGTAAACTAATGAATTATTTTAATTTCATTCTAAAACAGGATATGGTGGTGGAAGTTATGGTGGCTCTAGAGGTGGAGGTTATGAACCTGCTAATCGAGAATCAAGCCAAGAGGCACCAAAGGAAAGAAAGAGATTACAACTGGCCCCACGATCCAAGCCAGTAGAAAATGATAGTGCCCCACCCGCAAATGATGCAAGTGCAACCCCAACACCATCAAAAACCTCATCCATATTTGGAAATGCTAAACCCGTTGACACTGCTGCAAAAGAGCGCGAGATATTTGAACGTTTACATTCTGTGCAAAAACCCCCAGAAGAGGAAACTCCTAAAGAACGAGAAAAAAAGCCATCTATTTTTGGGGACGCAAAACCTGTGAATACGGCAGCTAGAGAAAAGGAAATAGAAGAAAGGCTGCGGAAACAGCGTGAAACTGAGCGAGTTTTAGCAGATAATGATAGAAATTATGAAAGGTTAGTAAATATTTGTCTATAAAGGAATGGAATAGTTCATGCAGCTTTACTATTTTACTTCATTTGATTTTCTGGTACATTGGGGTGGATATGTTAATTATTGATCATTTGTACGAATTCTAACACATGAAGAATGATGTTTTGTGTGCATTCTTCATCGATGATTACTGCGAAGAAAAAATGAAACCAATAAGTTATTTGAGAAAATCTGAGGGCTGTATATATGGTCTACATTTGTAGTTGGAAATGATGTTTTTTTGATTGAAATGAATTTCCTTATTTTTACCCCCCAGTTTGTTTTTAAATTTTACTTCTCCAAGGCAATAGGCCTATGTATAGTTACAAATTTTACCTCAAGACCTGATCTAGATATTTGATTTTGCCAATCATAGTCAAACCTGAAATATTGATATTATGAAGAAAACCATTTAATGGGATCAAATATTGCTAGATTAAGCCTTAAAATCCCCAACTGAGTTTGATTTTATTTTGGTTGTTGAGGTTTTTTTTACCTTATTGTGGCTTTATATTTTTGTGTTTTTGACTGCATGCCCTATTAGTTTACACATATATATATAAAGATACACACATTTTATTCCCCAACAGTCCTGCAGAAGAAAATTATCAACCAAGAGATTCTTTGGCCGAAAGTGACAACCAGTAAGAATTAACGGCCAATAACTAGCCTTTATTTTATTTATTATTTTTTTTTTTACAAAAATTGAGAAAATGTTGCCTTAAATATTTGTTTATATTTAGGATCCTAGATAAATATTGTTGCATTACGGAATCGTATGACAAACAAACCCTCACTTTATGTGGATATTAACTTATAAATTTTATTAAGCTATAATCTCTGTTTTAATTTACTATTATCATAGTCCTGGTAATTGATATTATTCAATATTCTACATTCTTTCAGGCAACTGACTCCCAATTGTAGGTTTCATAAAAACGTTTTTTAATCTGATAAAATTTGCTTTCAGTATTCTTTTGAATTTATGTATGGTGGTAATGTCTAACTGTTTAAATTATTACCAAAAGTTTTATTTGACAATTTTGTGTAATAACCAATCTAAGTAATAAAATAATTTATAGACAATCTTCAGTGTTAAATGTAATTCCTCATTGATTGAGGCCTGAATAAAGTTTAATAAGACCAGCTCTGTACTATTATATTTTCATTTTAGTAGAGTTAAAATGTTATCTGCAATATGTCAACTTCAGCTTTATTTTCTTTATGGACATAAAATATTTAACAAAGAAAGATTTTCATCTCAAATTATATGAACACATAATATTCTGTTAAATTAACAGTTTTATTTTTGTACCTAAATCACAGAGTTCCTGTTTTACAGCACTGTATTAATGAGTGGAATGCATGTACTACATATTTAGCCATATATATCACAACTACAATACTGTTAATTAGAAAATGACCGAATGGGTGGTGCGCAAGATGATTAAAAATGAAATGAAATTTGATATAACATTTTACAGTTTGCTATGAGGGTAATTTTGCCCGGACAGTGGCACGGTGGCCTACTCTTATAGTGAATTCCAATTGTCAAAGGTTCTTACACACCAATGTGTACACAGGACCTCTGTTTTCTGTTCCATCTGAAGGACTACACATTCTCAGTCCCTCTGCCTTGCCTCTCTGACAAGAGGGAACCACACTCGAAAATCCTGATTTACTTTCGGTCAACACAGGGATGGAACATGGGAGCACCACTGAAATTGGAGAACCATCCCCGAAAATCCGAATGGATCATAGTACCTCCAGATTAGCGAGCCAATGTCTTACTCCCTGAGCCATCATGGCACCCTAGTTAGATATAATAAAGCTTTGTGATCCACATGTATGTCATAATATATCATCTAAAATAGAGAAAGCAGAAGTTTATAGAAATGCTTGTATGAAAAACAACACTCATTATCAACATATGCTCTACCTGTCTGGCCACTTTTATTTTCACATGTTTTCATATAGCACAGAAACATTTATCTAATCCAATCCAAATAAAGTGAATATAACACTTACATGCAATTCTATGTAAAGAGTGGGGGTCTAGGTGGTTAAGTGGGTAAGACGCTGGCTCGCTAGCCTGGAGGTCGGATGTTTGATCCCTTGTCAGTGATGGACGGAGGGTCTGACAAGGACAGCTGTCTAGTCGTTCGGATGTGACGAAAAACTGAGGTCTCGTGTACACATTGGCGTACACATAAAAGATCCCTTGACAGTTGGAATTCGATATAAGAGTAGGCTGTACTGCCGATGTCCGGGCATATTGGACATGGGGAACAAATATCCAAATGTTAAGTTCAATTGTTTTTATTTTCAGACCGTCTGGACGTATGAGACGAGATAGTGAAGAAAATAGACGGGTGAGACGAGATAGTGAGGAAAATAGACGGGAGCGTCATTTATCAAATAGTAGCAGCGGAAAGGGCTCTCGTCATAGTAAGTTTATTTCCTTTGTTCTTATAGAATCTTAGGAAAATTTAAGTAAAATCATTTCTATGATCGGGAAGCCAAATAGAGACTTTTCCCTAATTCGATTGTAATCGAAATTCTATTGGAGATTTCCTGTAATGTATATTCCTTGGGTAAAAAGGGGTTTTGATTATTGATTATAGGTGCTTATTAGCATAAAACATGGAATAAATTAATTGAATTATGTTAGATGGAAACTGGACCTGGAGTTAAACATACTGATCAAAAAAAAAGTTCTCATTATTTATCTTTTTTTTTTGTTTTTAGGTCATAATTCAGGCGGAGTTCGATCTCGTAAAGATAGTGATTTATCTAATCATTCACAGGATCACGAGGATAATCCTTCGTCACCAAAACATGAGGTCACAACCCCTGTTAAAGTTATTCCTGCCCCTCCCCCAAAGGAAAATGCATGGCAGAAAAGAAAACCAGAAATAATGTCTCCCCCATCGCAACAACCACAGGTACATGTATTTTAAACCCAGACCTGGACTGATTACCAAGAGTCTGCTTAGAGCTCAAATTGTACACAATCTTTGCTGAACCCCTTAGAAACTATTATACAATATGTATGACTTGTATATGGATTTGCTAGTGTGCATTAAACTGTTAGTGAGATCATAAGTCGAAAGACGAAAGTAATAAGTGATTACCAGTTTTGTAGTGTTTTTATACACCTACATTTTCATGTGGACGTATATTGTCGTCGCCCCTGTCCGTCCGTCAGGTCACAATTTTTATCTGATTTTGACGAAACTTGAAATATAGGTCTATCTCCCAAAGATCTCGGTTCTTTTCAATATTGGCATGTATCGAACCATAACTTCATGGATTATGGCCCCTGATTGTATGAAAAGTCACGTTTTTAGCTTTTGGACACTCTAGAGCTCACAATTTTGATGAAACTTGAAATGCATGGTTATAACCCAAATATCTTGTTTCCTTTTGATATTCGAACATATCGGATTGTGAATTCCTGAATTATGGCTCCTGATTGTATCGGACCATAACTTCATGGATTATGGCCCCTGATTGTACGAAAAATCACGTTTTTAGCTTGTGGACACCCTAATGATTGCTGGACAAAATGGCCGCCCCTTGTACGCAAATAGTGTAAAATATGGTATATCGAGGTTGTGGACCCTCTAGAGGTCACAATTTTCATCTGATTTTGATGAAACTTGGAATGCATGTTTCTATCCCAAAGATCTTGGTTCCTTTCGTTATTTGCACATATCGGATTGTAACTTCCTGAATTCTGGTCCCTGATTGTATGAAAAATCAGGCTTATAGCTTGTGGTCCCTCAAGAGGTCACAATTTTTTTCCGATTTCAAAAAACATTTGAGTATATCACCGTTACACCCCAATGATGGTTGAGTGCGAATTTCATGGGGCAAAACTTTATAAAAACCAAACAAATTCTAATGGTTTTCTGATAAATACTTAATGAGTTTTTACTCTTAATCAGATTTTAATGTATTATAAATGTTTCATTACCGAAAAAAGTAAAAATATGTGACAACTCTTGTTGACTGTGCCCGGACGATTTAGCTGCTGTGGGCGTATGTTTCGTTGCCTGGCAACCTATCTTTTAAATATTTTGGAATGATAATGGCTAAGATAGAGAATTTGTATTGCAAAATTGTATTACTTTTCATTGTAGGTATCTAGAGCAAGCGAAGGTAGTGCTAATAAAACTAAGTCCCCAGGTGACAAAGAAATGACATCACGGCAAAATTCCAATGATAAGCCAAGATCAGATAGAGATCGAGATGGTTATAGAGACAGGAAAGGTAGGTTTCACCATCTTTATCATTTACATTTAACACGTTTTATTGAATAGTAACTAAAATGATTGTCCCCTGCCTTTCTAAGAATGGTTAACGCGTGCTCATTGGATCATAAGGTCTATCATTGAGTCACCAGTCTCTTATCAGGTATTGATGTCATTAGGATTTTAGCTTCAATAATAATAACTTTTATTCTGTATTTTAATCATTCAGATGATCGACCCAAAGGTCCACCAATTAAATATGATGGTAAAAATAAAGAAAACACCAAACCAAAGTAAGTTTCTTAATAACTGTTTTAATTTGATATAAGTTTGTGATGTAATAACAACAGAGTATTCTGGGATGCTAGAATGATAATTTCTTAGGCCAGTTTTCCATGTAAGCATTTTTGTGGCATCTCCTTGTGCCTTTTTGCCCAGGGAAAGGTCTGCCTAATGCATGTGTAATGGGACTGTTTCAATGGAACCATATACATGGAACACAGGCCTTAGTCCTGGACATAAGGATATGACAGAGAGTGTGAAGATAGAACATGCAACCATAAATATGATCTCATAAATCTAACATCAGCCTTTCCTTTTAATATCTTAAATCTTTCAAACTTTATTTTCAACTCTCTCTCTCTACATTTATGGGTTTTGTTTTATCTTAAGGATTTTTCTTGGGTACTCAGTCAGTTTAGATTTACATATGTAAACAATGTTCTATTTTCAGGCGTGAAAAGCCAGTCCCCAAGTCTTTTGAAGAAATGCCAAAATACAATAAAGGTGAAGCAAAGGTAAACTAATATAATTTCCAGTTTCAATTGATTTTAGTAGTATTAAACACATCACCACAATGAAAACATGCATGATGAAATTTTGATAGTTGCAGCCATTTTAGAAGCGAACATTGTTAGCTGTTAACCTTTACTGCCTTTTCTAAATAATATACATCTATTTACTTAAGAGCATGATATAACAAAAAATCAATATGCTGATAATTCACAGTCCAGTATGTTGCTGTTTGCGGTATTAACAAGATTACCATTCAAACTTAAAATTATATATTTATTTCAGGATTGGTCGGATCAAAATAAATTTGCTCTGATTTCTTCATCAAAATCTGATGAGGAAGAAGATGATGATGATAGAAAAGAAGAGGAAAATGAGGAAACTACTGAAACAACTGAAGTTAAAATTGAATCATAGAAATGGAGAGACAAAGAAAAAGAATCTATTTATAGGACAAATAGACATAGAGTATTTTATTTAATTATCAAAATGGAATTTTTTTTTTTAGGGGGTTGGGGTGTGGGAGTGGGGGGGGGGGGGAAACATTGTCAGTCCTTTTAAACACAGGGGAATTCAGTGTGGTGGTACAAAAATTATGTTTGTAACTTAAAACAGCATTGTAGTTTTGTGTTATTTAAATACAAAAGATTTTCAATTTCACAAAACTGGACTAGCCTTTTGGGGTAGTTGCTTGAGAATAAATGCTTATTGTGACTAATGGTTATTCAGATTTTACAATTATCCCCCTGTGGATAGGTTTGATGGGCTTAATGAAGCATCATATCTTTAATCAAATGTAGCTGATGTAAGGAATTTTAAAAGTATTACGTAAAATAATCCACAGCATAAAGAGAAGAGTTTTTAATATAAATTTGTATATATTTATCATTTCAGTGTGAATTTGAAATATTTAAATTTGCGTATTTTTAAATTTAAAAAGTAATAAAATTTTCTGGTCTATGATGCATCTTTATTGTATAGTTATTAATATAAAATTTATGGAATAATGGGAAACCTATTGTGTATTGATGATATAGAAAGTAGAACAACATAAACATATGTCAAATTTTATTACTGTCTGGATCATGCTATAAAAAAGGTGTTTTGTGGCCATATGAAAATCCTGCTTTTGAATACGTTTATAAAAGCTTACCCATATGTTGTAAATCACCTCCGACAAAAAAAATCCTTTGTACAAATCTAATATTCCACAGCATGAAAAAGATCTCTTGAAAAATTGGACAGCTCACAAGTTTTGACTAAAAACAGTATACCATAATCAAAGCTAATTGCGTTAGGGTGAGAGCATACTGTATCCATCGAAATAATTTTGAGCACTATTAACACAATTCAAAATGAATTTGTGGCATTGTTCGATTTATGATCCCAAAAAATAGACGCATTGTGATAAAGTCTGTCAGAAATATAAGCTAAAGAGTTGATTTTTTTTTTTCTTTGGGATATTTAGTAGCACAATGGAGTTTATTTAACCAAAGGGTATGGGTTTATATCCATAATAGAATAGTTTGTTCATACAGGACAAAAATACTTGAGTCTTTTACCATGGCTACAACAGTTAGCAGTGTCACTTCATAATTTTTGCATGTATCCCAACTCAACGAAATATCTAGATGCCCAATTTTGTTTGTTAAATGATTACTAGAATCTTTGTTTTTGTTTGTATTTCAATTTAGATTAGCATGAACAGGTGATTTATTGTGTATGTAACTTCTAGAATGGGATTATATATATATTAATTGGACTTGTATATATAATACACAAGCTTAATAAATGACTATCAAAACTGATAAAAACCATCCTCAATAACTTCTATAATCTGGGGTTACTGTTAATAGCAAAGACTTTGCAGATGTTTTACGGCTTGACTGATAAAATACCTACACTGGTAACATCAAGATAAATATCCTCCATAATGGTGTCTTTTATACATTTATTTGATAATCAATTATTTTGATATTCTAGCATTCAATAGAAACAATTATTTGTCTTGGCCTGTAGAAATAAATTCATTTTTACTGACATTCTGTTTTATAAATTTTAAAATATAATTTCAGATAAAAATTGGAGATTATCACTCACTTAGTCTGTAAAATGTATTGTTTTTATTAAATGGTGGCCAAGCTTGCTATATTACAATATATCCATTATTTGTTAGAAATAGTAAATTTTGGGTCATCATCAAATGTAAATACATAATTATTATAATCAGAATGTGTGTAATGCATGCTTCATCTGTTAGGTACAATATTTTTAAGGAGGAAGTGATAAAAAAATTTAACAGTTGTCTGCCTTGAGCATTATTCAATTTACCGAACACCACTTATCTAATTATGTTATATCTGTTGAACATATAGAAGGAAGGGTTATAAAGGAAGTAGAACCTGAATCTAAACTGTTCTACATGTCACCAGTCAAAAGGCAACACCTAGTAAATCATGTTTTTCTTGTTTTGAGAAAACAAAGGAAAACGAAATGAATGAATATTAAACCCCAGCTTATCCATTGATTTGACTATTGAGTTACTAGGTTTTTCTGTGGCATACTAGTAATCATACTAGACAAATGAAGGAAGTTGCTAGATTGTGTCATGAGTGTAACTGCTTACAAAATCAAAAGATCGGAATATCTAGTACAACAACAGGAAGCACATACCCTAGTAACTACAAATTTGGTCCTAACTCAATTTTGATAAAAAAAAAAGTGAGTTACTAGGTGTTGCCTTTTGACGGGAGATGTATACTAGCTTAGACGAACCAGCGGTCACTGGAAAGAATATGGTTCATTCCATGAAAAACTTTCTAACATTTTCTAACTTCTAAACTTCAATCTTGATGGGCAAACAAAAGTTGCAAAGTTTATTCTTTTCTGATCAATAATTTCCAAAATGGTTGGTTGTGTAGAATATTAAATAATGGGTAGACAACTCAACAATTTACATCACAAACATCTTTTACTTCTAATTCATTTATCATTGTCCATTATCAACACTAGAATCAAACATTGGGAGTGGTTTTTGATTTCTCATTTGAAGGTGTATATTCTTTGATGGTTAAATCTTTTATTCAATTCTTTTCTGTTCTCCTAATTCTAATAAATTATTGAGTTTATAGGGTTTAAATTATTTCAAAGTAGAATCATGTTATGACTGAAATCCATTATTAAAGTCAAGCATAGCATTTTACGTGTACTGTCTGATGTGAAAATAATTGTTCAACACTCTGCTGAATTTTTTTAAAAATTAACTATTTATCAAAATGATTATTTTAAAAATATATGAGAATTGTCCTTGTTGTTAATTTCAGTACTACAAAAATATTAAATAAATAACCCCAGAGCCGCCATTTTTGTATTTTTTTTTTGGGACCAGGAACTGGTCGCTAACTGCTACTCATTTGTTCTGGGGGTGATACTCGTTGAAAAAGCCTAAGGCCCCGTTAATTGAAGTCCTATCGACATGAAATATGGCATGCTTGGTCTTTGAATTTCAGGGGGGTTGGATGGCTGAATGGTTAGCGTATGCGCGCTGTATCATGAAGTCTGTCATTGAGTCAACTGGTGTGGTTTTGAATCCCTCGGTTGTACGTGACAAGGAGTAGGGTCGCCTGTCCAACCTCGTGGGTTTTCTCCGGGTCCTCCGGTTTCCTCCCGCTGCTAAAGACCCCTACGCGCAAGCGAATTATTGAAATAAAATTAAACCATATGTTAGTCCCGAAATGACCTAGTTTGTGTCGAGTGGACGTTAAACCTCATTTCTCTCTCTCTCTCTCTTTGAATTTCATCCAACAACATGGTCAGTTCCTGGCCTATAGTATAATCATACTTTTTGTATTATTTAGTCCTAGTTTGTGGAAATGTTTTTTTTTTTTACCAGCAATTGATATGAGGTAAAGTAGGGTTACAAATAAAATAACATAAAATTTTTTGAGTTTTACTAAATATTCATAATTATAAAAAAAACATACATTCATCCCAACACAAATATGTAATTTTATATACAAGCAACTTTTAATCTTATTTACTGAGTTTGAATTCTTCTTTGTATTCTTGCCTTTCTCATGTTGAAGATTGTGACCACCCAATATTTTAAAATCTATCTTTACTATGACCTATTCTATTGTTGTCAGTGTTAATATATATTATGTTATCATATATATAGTTTTGTGTACATAATATCATTAATGGTGGCCAATTAAAGGCAGACTTTTTTTTGCTTTGTAACATAATGTTGACAATTGGTTATTGTATTAAAATAATATTTCAAATGAAACATGGTGATATGTTAATTTTTGATCCATCTGTAAAATTTGGATGGCACTAGAGCCTACCCTGGATTCAAATAAAACTTCACTATTTTAATTTGTTAATTAAAAAATTTAAATATAGCAGTATGTTGTTGCAAGACATTTAGCACATCTGTGTCATTCTCCTGCAGCATAAGTTAAACAAGTGCACTGTAAAGAGTAGTCACCCCCTGGGTGCCATTTGTATTCTATTACTTACCTCTGCTTAGTAGTGCTTAGCCTAAATCATCAAACTCATTCAGCTGATGCACATCTAGATGAAGTTTGAACATTTTACCTAACCTGGAAGTGGAGTTAATGTGTTCTATAGTCTCGACCAATCAAATGGCTTATCTTGGTTCAAAGTAAGCAGAAAATCCTTATCATTGACACCTTTTGAAACTCTACACCAAGTTTAATCATTGTAGCTCAATTAGAAGAGTTATTGTGTCCCAAAGTTGTAGCGGGACAGCTGCTTAGCATACAATCTACCTCAAAAGGCAGGGTACAGACTTCACCTGTGATGGTTGCTTCTAGTGTAAATGCATACTGGTAAATATTGTAATATTTTGTCGACATTTTTTTAATTCAGTTTTGAATTAAAATAAAACCTGATGTGTAGTTCTAACTTAAAATACAGATGTGACGTCATCCTTTGATGTTGGAGTACCATTATTTCAAATAATCGTACGGGCAATGTGCCAAGTGTAACTTGGTAAAATATTGAACTCCAGTGACGTATTTCATTGCAGGGCACGTGCAAGTGTCTGTATTTTAAGTTGTTTAATGGTCTCGAGCTTAAGACATTGCATAATATATTGTAAAAATGTTACAATATATTACTTAATGTCTCGCTCTCGACCATTAAACAATACATAATTAAGAGATGCATTCCCACGAAGGTATTTATAGGGTAGTTATTTCCAATAAAAGTATGATATGGAAAGTAGAGACACCTGATCTTGCTAGAAAATACTTGATTCCCTGGAAAACACCCTTGGGTGCAGGCACAAAACAAAAATGTATGGGTATACCTAAAAGTTGGAAGAACATTGTCTTTAATATTTATGGTAGATGGAAAGCGACTAACCACAAATACAAGCTGAAGTGGATTCTACCTCAATCTAGTCACGTAATAAAAAAAATAGATTAAGAGTATTTTTCTTCTGATTTAAATGTTTTGAGAGGGATTTGAAGCAAACTTTTGATAGATAAATTAGTTTGAATATGTTTTAGTTCAAATATATCATCAAACCACACAGTTAAATTCATCAACGGGAAAGCATCTTTAATCAGTCATAAATAATGATTTATAAAAGCACACAATGTAACTTTTCAATATTTATTTCAATGTTACATTAAAACATTTATAACTATATTAAATACTAAACACCTATCAAAATATATGGTCTACCAAATTTTCAACAAAAGATAAAGAAATAACCAACTAAAAAAATTCTGAGCTGGAAATCTGCAATTTTTAGTAACAAGTATTGGTCCAGTATTCTAACAAATAAATTCAGACTGAATTACATGTTGAATAAATTAAAGGTACAGACTCATTTAAGTGATGCCAAATTTATGAAGAAGTTTGATTATATGCATTTTTAAACAATTTAAATGTCAATAAGCAGATCACAATAAACCATTTCTTAAGTACCTATAAACAAACCCTGACAAAAATGAACTCATCCATGCTGCTCAAATGTGGAAATTGCACTTCAAGTTGTTAAAAAATACAAAATATAGATAATTTCATCCTCTGTACATTTCCAGATGATATTGCTTTAGATAAAAATACAAAGATGTTTATTTTTGGAGGGTGTTATCAAATATAATGTTCTTTAAAAAAAAAAACCAAAAAAAAACCTGCTGGTTATATAATATTTGCTCCCTAAACCTACTAACTTTGGGTAATATTTATATTAGAAATGGTAACATGTCTTATTCCCTCAACAATTTACTAGTCAGGGATCACTGAAATAAATACATGTAAATACAAACTTATCACAATCGGTATCATTTTACAGGTTTAATAATATGCTGGGAAATATTTAATGCAGTTCTATTTTCTTTAAAATTAAATGGACAAAGACTACTCTAAAAACATTTCCTCCTGTCACACCAAAATACATTTTCCAAATACAAACAAGGGTAAGCTAAACTCCTTTAACTGAACCCTTTCATTCATACTGATGCTTTAAATGTCATGTATTAATATCATACAGTGTAGTTTGTAAAATTTGTTTAAGTAGACCCAATGAAGTCCAGTTTCTGGATGAAAGGATTGAAGTTCCCACATTAACTGGGTTAAAACCCAAGAACTAAATAGAATTGATGACAGGGGATGGTGTGGAAAATTGAACACTTGCCTCGAGACGATGGTCCAGCTAAGATATACTACTGCATTATGTCAACCAGAAAAATACATCATCCATGTTATATTTATAGCACGGCTTTCATGAGTTAACAGGTTTAACCAGAAGCTGAAGGTCGAGGGGTTTAACCTTTTAATGAATGAAGTGTGCTATAAATGACTTGTAACATTGACAACTGCTCAACATGCTTATTGTTATTGCACAGAAAACGCACCCCACTTCTCTATATGATTTCTACTAAAACTAGTGTAAACCAGTAAAAGTGTGCAATAACATTGAACATGTCTAGTTTTTGCACGGTTAAGCTCCACCCAATCTACTAGAGGGAAAACAATCTGCTTATTCAACGAAAAGAACAAAGTAATTGTTAAAGGACAATATTAGTGTCAGTCATTATCACATATGTGATAGAACTAATTAAACACGTTCCAAATATAATTTTAACACAGAGATCATTGCTACGATAGCTGAGTAATACAGGTTTCCTGAATCGGAAGTGACGAACGCCAAAGGAAAACATGAGTCATACCTCTATTTCACTGACTGATGTGACGAGTGATAACAGATACACGGCCGAATTTCTGCTCACTAATAATTCCTTCCCAGACCAAAAGTTTTCCTTTGGCGTTCGTCACTTCCGATTCATGAAGCCTGTATTACTCAGCTATCGTAGCAATGATCTCTGTGTTAAAATTATATTTGGAATGTGTTTAACTAGCTCTATCACATCTGTGATAAGGACTGGCACCAATATTGTCCTTTAAATTTTTAAATCACAGTTCCTGCATACAGGTACAGTGAACATTCACCATTAACAGCAGTTTATTCTAGTTAACACAATTGCTTGAACAAATTTCGACTTTGAACACTTTGTGACCTGTGGGTTACCGGCTTGAAGTAAATGATCTTATTTTCAATTACCAAGTTTAAAATATAAATATGACCCAATAGTATTTGTGCATTGTCAGTTAATCATCTTTCAACAATCGTATAGGTACTTTATCATGTACCCCTTGTAATAATAATTCTCCATCATATGTTACAATCTTCTTTCTTTTTGCTGCCCGAAGAGTCCCTACTAATGCTTCAAATATATTGGCACATCTGTCATCTGAAAATAATGTACCAAAACTAACCTCCAGTTTGCCATCACTACCTATAATAAAATTGATAAAAACATTAAAGATGGTGGTATGATCTTTGTCAGTCTGTAAAATTTTATTTTTTTTGTCCAATTTGATGTGATTTGTCAGGCAGAGACATTTTATGCTCTAATTTACAAGTCAAATATATTTTAGGTTGGGTTTCAAAAGAGGTTAATGGATGCTCAAGCACACCATCTAATACATGTGGACTGGTGCTTGGAATTTTAATGCAAAGCTGAATCTTTTGAGTATGATATTAATATTATACAAAATTAATTACTTAACTATTTTATTCATGTAAGTGATAATGCCGCTTATACACTCTGTCAGGGGTTCCCCACCACTAAAAATGTCTGTCAGAGTGTTTTTGTAATACCTGAAGATGTATGGTACACTGCTGTGCTATTTTCATGTGGTACACTTTTGAGCTAATCTAGACTAGTTGGGGGGCATGGCATTTTAGGCTTGGAATACCACACCCACCACCAGAAACCGGCAGACTTACATTCTGATGATACCAGATATACATGCATCGATACCATATAGGAGAAAATTGGTACACTTTCCAGCTAGGTTGACCCCCTGAGCCGGAAGTTGACGTTGATAGCAGCCTAAACCATGATGCCACCTCCCCCCGAAACGATCCCTTTCCAGCATGCAGTTACGAGCAAAGCGTTCATGTCGACGTCGCCATGGTGTGTTGTGCAGATACCCCTGTTTTGCGGCCCATTGCTGTCTGGCAAGTTGATGACGATGCAAAAGGATATGACCTTGGTAAGGTTGACGGCAGCGTAACCCAAGAGCAGCCAGGCGCCTTCGAACTGTTTGAGGGCTGATCTGACGTTTCCATGTTCCAACAGTTCCCCTGGCAGTAGCAGTAGCTGACTGGAACCTGTTGCGCAGATGCTGTAGTCGGATGTGGTGATCTTGAGCAGCGGTTGTAACAGGTGGCGCTCCAGGTTGGGGTCGATCGGCAACCCTTCCAGTGGCGTGGAAGCGTTGTTTGAGGCGAGCAATTGTCGACAGGTGGACATTAAAGTGTCTAGTGACGGCTACCTGGGAAGCCCACTGATCCAGCATGCCAATAGCTGTTCCTGTTTGCTTGTGTAAGGCGTGGCATTTTTCTAAAGTGCTGAATGTTGAAATTTTGATCTGTATTTAAAGGGCCAGAGTCCAGGGAATGCACGTGCAAAACGTGTGACATGGGACTGCTTAAAATCGTGAAAAAAGTGTTGCGTTTGCACGAACAAAGTTCATTACCCATCACAAGTTTCATCTATGTGCCATAAGATAGGAAAGCCCAAGAAAACGTTTACCTGAAATATTTCACAATTAGGCATTGCGTTTTTATTGGTTTTGAGTGTAGATATGTAACATCACATGGTCAGTTAATAAAGAAAACAAATTGCCAACTTGTAATTTAGTACAATCTAGATAAATATGTACATGTACTTTTATACCTTCAAGCATATGGTCTGACAAACAGTATAAAGGGCTAAAGTTTATCTAACAAGAATAAGTTGTTAATTTTTTAATCTACCTGGTGTTCCCAATCTCTTAATTTCTTCGATTAAGAGTTGTACTTCATGTTCGACATTCATCTTGATCAATCTTAAAAAAACCCAAAAAAACCCAATATTATTAGTCAGATTAGCCTATTGCACTTTTCTTTTGTGTGTTGATCTTCAATAAAAACTGGGATTCTACATACATTATGACAATGTAGGCCCTACATGTAGGGTTATCTACACTCTTCTATTATTGAACCCCTGACCCATGGCATACAAACAATCTATCTGACTTCTTAATAGTAAACAGAACTTACCTACGACTACAGATTTGAAAAATTTGTCCCTTTAATGACGAATTAAGTACAAAATTTGCCTAAAAATCAAATGAATAAAAACTATTTAGGACCTAAATGCTAAAGATCATAATAAAACTCCAATATTTAGCATAATCGGCGTTGCTTTCAAAATACCCTTGAGCATATGAAATATCTCTCTAAAGTTCCAATAATAGAACTTTTCTTGAATTCCTTCCAAGAAATTTTAAGAATACTACGGTACACGGTGCCGTATTTATTTCTGGAACCAAACTAAGTCCGATTCCTTCTGAAGCAGTGAATGAAAATATTATATGATGTGAGTCATCAACAATTTTGAAAATTTCATGAATGGATTTGACTTTAGAAGAGATAGATTTCCTAAGAAAATTGTTTTTACATAAATCGTGCGCATAACCACATAAGATAAGAGTTTCAAATTTTGTTTGGAACGAAGAAATCTCACCGTGTAAACAGAAATAACTACCAAACTTCGAGAACCCCTCCCCTTTCAGGAATAATAACGGAAGTGCTCCTGAAATTCTGTACGCATGGGCACGTGCCCGATTCACGCATGCGTAGTCAAGGCAATTGTTAGCCATTTTGATGAAAGCAAACTGGGATACTGCAAGAAAACCTATTTTGGATTATTATAATATTTAACAAAAAATGAGTGTGTCGACGGGAAAATGATTTTAAGGATTAACGAAAATGAACTCTCGCAGCCCAATGCAGCAATATTGGAGCAATTCACTCGCGATACGGCAGGAGATACAACGCTTTGAAAGTGTTCACCCGAGCATTTATGCCATTTATGATCTGATTGAGGCCATCCCCGATCCCCTCATCCAACAACAAATTCGAGAACACGTCGTCTGCATCGAAGGTGAGTCACTGGTTCCCACAATTAACTATTAAACTCATTAATGACTTTGATAATTAGGCATCGCAGATCTCGTTAATTGGATTATTTGGCGGATTAACCTCGTGTTATGTGAAGCATGACAACTGTCAAAATTACAGAATGGAATGTTACTCGTATTATTTTGCTCGAGTCAACTCAATGCTAAACATTTCAGCCGAGCCCCTTCTTGACTTCCTTTAATAGGTTCATTGATAAACTGTTTCTAACAAACTTCAAATTTTAGAGCTTCCAAGTTGATTTACAAAACTGCATTTTAACAGCTCATGATTTAGTCTACTATGGAAAATCAATAAAAGATATCAAAAAAAAATACATCACATTATTATTCCCTTCCAAATCTTCACTGAAAAATATTTGAGAACAGAAAATGTGTTGTTAGAATAGGGTCCAGTATAACAGTCGAATGTATGTACATGACTGTACCTTACCGGTGCATGCAAACTAATGTCAGTACTATTATATAGTAATTAATCCAAATATTTTTCTATAAATGGGTTTCTTGTAATTTATTATTATTATGAAAAATGTATTTCTGGGGCTTTCAAACTTTCCACTACCAACAATATGAAAGGTGCATGCTTTTGTATTTCAAAGACCTTTTAATCTATTACAACCAACAGATTTCTTAAATTTGTTTTTGTGTGATCTCACAAAAATGTTTTTTTTTACAGTGAGAGTGATTGGAGTACAATACTCCATCCATGCTGTATATATATACTTAAAAGGGTATTTAATTTTGATACATATGAAAATAGAATTGATTTTATTATTTTGACATTATTCATGAATTTGTCGATACCAATACCTGATATAATATTTTATGAATCGATAGCATATTTAGCCAGTACTTCCATTTGACATGCACAGTTCATGATTTTTCGGACTTAGAGTTAGAGATATTTTGGATTTCTACTGTTTCTGCCGGCAATGGTAGTACAGCCATCGTAATACTAACCCTAGCTTCTATACAGACCTTTATCTCTTAGAATTTTATTCATATTGATGCATTTTCTGTATGTTTTTTGCTGCCTTTTCTGTGCAGCAGTTATCTTCTTGTGTCATTCCGCCAGTAGGTGATACTCGGGGCTGTCAGTAATTTTTCACAGTTGATTAGCAGCACTGATAGTGCTAATTAAACAGTCCAGTTTTATCAAATTTGATTAGCAAATTTAAAAATTGATTAGCACTTTTTCAGTTTCAACATAAAACACCTAAATAACAAGATATTACTTTAATTCATAACAAATGATTAGATTTCATTCTTAGATTTTTTAGCACTGCTACAGGTACATGTACATGTAGCTGTGACAGTTTGTGAATGTGAATTTTTGGTTAGGTCTAACATGTATGTCTGAAGCCAATTCTTGGCAGTGACTTCCGAAGCCCAACTCATTTTAATTGTTATTTCTTCTTCAGAAAACAATTTTGTCTGCTTTTTATCATGTGTTACTATTTTTGTTCAATTGGACACACGCAGAAATTAACGAATAACCTCAATTAACTAGACACACGCGATATAAACAATACTGTTTTATGGGAATTCTTACTTTGATTTCTCGTTTTACAATACTTTTACATGTATTTATTTTATTATATTTTATTTAAAATACACTGGGGGATACACTGGATTTATTTTATTCACATTGAATTCTGATATAATTACTCGAAATTGACAGGTCTCGCAACGTGAGTGGTACTACTTGATTCCCTATTTCCGGTTTAATAGTCCCTATTCACAGAGTTATGTCCCTGTATTATAGAGTATAACGAATTGTTTCCGGGTAGTTCGAGAAGAAAATGTCACACACAGAAGTCAGTGTTGTTTATAAAAATTTCATTTGACATTTTATACACGTTGCAAATTCACAGCCTTCTATATTTTACTTGAATTATAAATTTCAACTAGTTCCCACATCTTGTTTTATAGCCTAAAAGATAACTGTCTTCTAAAGAGAATAATTATTGTAGACCAGGTGGAGTCTACTAATTACTTAATAATGTAGTGAATGTTAGTTAAAGGAACATCTTGAAGTTATTATACTGACTGAGTTCTGAAGTGCAATTCAATGTTTTAGTACATAGTACATGTCCATGTAAATATGATACACACATTCAATGTATACATGTACATACGTATACATGTATGTGCATGCATAGTCCAGAGGTCTTGTTTTTATAACATCTGTGAATAACTTCATTAAACTATAGTATAACATAAGTAAAATTTATGAACATTCAGTTCAGTTGGTATAAAATTATTCCCATGGGGAGTTTTTAATTTCAACTCTCCATGACTCTGAGTGCGAATGCACACCGTAGTTTGTGTTCTCATTCATGTAGATCTTAAACAGTTTAGTGTTGTTGAAATTGTCTGATAGACATGTACATATATACACATGTGTGCATACATGTACAACAAAATCAATTTGTACATGGTTTATACTTTGAAGCTAAAATCTGTATGTCTCACGTACAGTAGGTACCGTATAAATATATGTGTATTAAATGTACCATCTGTAACAAACTTTAGTTAATCACATGAAATCCTACCTACTTTTTGCCTAAAGCCTTCGATTTGAATATTTTATCAGGAAACCCCACCAAAAAATATCTCCTAGCTGTTTGGCCTATTACACATTATGATTGTTGAGGTTATCATTGAGATCAAACAATATTCAATGGCCCCAAGAAATTGATGATGCATGTAAATCAGTCCTTTTAAAAACATGTTATCAAAGATTAAGGTCAATGTATATAATATTAACATTTTACAATTTATCTCAGTAAAATTATAAACAAAAGTTGTAACAATAAAATGCAGTTACAAAAATATAACGGTGCTTTGCAAAAAAACGCCAGTGGCCGATCCTAAATGTTAATCTAAATTATATCCTGCCTTTTACGTAACTTGTAGCATGTTGAAGAATTGCTTACATGTACATGTACATGTATATCAGGAAGATGTACCGATATATGTACATGTACAATGTAATTACATGAGAAATATTATGATATAACAAAACTGAATTGTAAAGAGTTTACAAGACAAAATAGAAATTATCTTGTGTCAGTTTGTAACAATACACTGTAGATAAACCTACTTAAAGGGGAATTATAGAAGATTAGAGAAAGAGCTGATATTTCTCACTATAAATTATACAAATGTAGTTAAAAACTAGATAATGTAAAGGGAATATGCTGAAAATTTCATTCAAATTGCTCTATTCTGAACTGAGATATGAGCAATTGGATTTTAGGCCTAGCTTCGATCATCATTACTAAAGTCGGTACAGTAAGAAACATAGTCTTGATTATCCATTTTTGGATTTAATCATCAATTAGCTTTGAGCAGTAGATTGGATTCAAATCCAGTGAAAATCTGACACGTAAGATGGGCTTAGATGGCATCGAGAGTTGATTAAGGTCTTTTCATGTTAATAAATGTTCAAATAATAGTTTTATTAGTTTATGTAACATTTAGCTCTTGCATAATGTATGTTAAGTTAATCTAATCTGAGCGGAAATAACTTAAATAAGTAAACATGATAATCATGATAACTGATAACGGTTTTAGCTACCAGCTCCTTGATGTTTTATTTCCTTTAAATACGTATAATATTTGATAACATGTCAATGTTGACTGACTTCACTGACATTATTTCCAGTTACATATGTAAGTGCACGGTAAATTTCAGAATAAGATAAAGCTTACATTTACATGAAAAATTCTTCTGCAGATAATCCCAAATTTTTAAAGGCTACATTATGAAAAAAGGAAGTTAAAACCAGTAATAAAAACGGCTTGCTCATCTGTTTGTGAATGAATTACATGTATTGCCTTAAAGGGACAGTAGTCTTAAATTGTATAAAATCTTCTATTTTTTTTCTGGGAGACTCCAGTACTGAACAGATTTACTTGGTTTGTATTTTAAAATTTATTAGAAATTGAGCAATTATATAATTTTTGCACAACAAACACAAGAATCAACATTATCGTTTCCCTTTAAATCACATCTTACTATACATGTATTGTATGCTGTTGTAGACAGTACATGTATCAGATTTTCATCTTAAAGGGACCATCCTGATTTTAATTCTCAGAAATAAAACGCCAACATACATGTATACCGTACATGTACAGGAATGGTGTATTTACCTTGTCTCAAAATTTCAGCTCAAAATATTGAGTCGTTTGGACGTGGACGTCAAAACTGCTTATCTAGACCCGTAACTAGGGCTGCAACGATATGCCAGGCCGCGATACGATGTGCATCACGATTTATAGTCTACGATATGATTAATAATAATATCGCGATATAGGAAATAAATTTAAAATGCTGTTAAATTTTGACAGTAGTCTTTCACTGAAAATTCGAAGGCCTACTTTTATGGTTTACTTTAAATGTTGGGTTTTCTCTGTCAACTGTCTGGATTTCATTGCTGTCTTGCTTAACGGGAAATCCTAAAAAAAACTCCCATACTTTATTTTTGACTTATATACTTGGTAGGGGGGGATTTCGATCTCAATATTGCTTTTGTCGATCATGCGACTTGAATTTGGTGAATTCATTTTAAAAAATATTTCAGCTGGTTGGCTCGTATTGCTTTTGTCGATCAGGCAACTTGAATTTCGTGAATTCATTATGAAAAATATTTCAGCTGGCTGGCTTGTATTGCCACAACAATTTAAGCCAATGAAAAGCTTTCTCGTTTTCAGGTCAGTCATAGATTACGGAACAGCAAAGGAAATAACGTTATGAAGATTTTAATATCAAATATTAATATAAATTAATAATGTACTGATCAATGTATGCAGTATGTACAAATCGCAATTCTTATACAGTAATATTATCAAAAATTGCATATTACAGACGTATATATATATATTATTTATTATGTTGTTTTTTTCGGCATATTATTCAAGTGTGTAATTTGAAATACATGTAGCTATAATAATAAGC